ATACCTTGTACTTCTGCATATTACAGTGGAGAAGGTCTAGGACGCTAAAATATAGGGCGTATTTATCTAACATTAAAGGGAAAGCAAAAGTGAGTAGTGATTCTTTTTCTTATTAAATCAATTATGAGGATTTTGTAACGCTCTGAAGAATTAAACAAGATTAATTGAGGTAACTAAGATTTATTAATTTGCCTAATCTAGTTTAATTAATTGATTATTGATTAATAAATGTTTGTGACGTGTAAATTTAAATAATTTCAAAGTATTTAAATATTCTCAGTATTTACATTTTACCCAGAAGTATGCATGGGCACATTTCTGGACTGTTATTTTCAACATTTTGACACCTGTCCATTTCCTTTTTCTTTTTCTTTTCCTTCCTTTCCTTTGTCCTTCCCGTGCACTCTCTCCCTCTCTCTCTTTCACTCTCTCATTCTCTCTCGTTCACTCACTCACTCACACTCTCTCTCTTTCTCTCTCTCTCTCTCTCTCTCTCTCTCTCTCTCTCTCTCTCTCGTTTTTGCCTCAAACCAACTGGATTTCGAACCAAATGAAGATTTCAAGAAGTTTTCAACGCCAAGAGAAGGATATGAGGTATGATTTCTAAAAAACTTCTCTTGAAACTCAGATTTTCAGATTTAAAAACTTATTTTGGTTCGAAATGGATTTTGATGGATTTTGAGTAAAACCATGGTAGAAATTGGAGATCTTAGGTTCTTTCGACTTGATTTAGTACTTAGAACCCGGATCTAGTGGTTTTCCTTTGGGATATCTCGATTTGGACTCAGATTTGTAGGTTTTTGGGTTGATTCTGCAAGTTTTCTTCACCTGTTGTTCTTCACAGGTCGACCTGTGTGGTCGACCGGACTGCATTGAGCCCACTGGTCGACCTATGCGGTCGACTGAATTGCACACCACCGGTCGACCGGTGGTGTTGCACTGCGCTGTCACCGTTCGACTGGTGTACACGGGGTTTGACCATATTTTGTTGAAAAACCCTGTTTTGACCTTAATTTTTTAGGAAAACCCAAATTAGCTTCATTTGGGGACCTAGAATGAGTGGATTAGCATCTTTAATCCATCTTTTGATATTAAAAACCCTTGGAATAATGATTTGAAACATGAGTTGATTAATGAAACTTGAAAATTGATTGAGGCACACTAATAGGAAATCAAAGGATATAATTGAGATTGAAATTGCTTTAGGAATGTGAATTGGATCCTAAAGCGTGGTTTTGTATCAGTCCTAGCTCAGGACTCGGATTGAGGGGCTTTGAGGAAGCGAAAGCTGGAATTGTGTAACGCTAGCCAGGTTTTTTAACTTAACAATTAAAAACAACAATGAAATATTAAGAAATCTCCAAACGAGCCCCACTATTGAATGTGAAAAATAAATTACAAGAACATCTCAAGAGGCTAAAACTCCTGCCTCTATCACCGTTCAGGGCTACACCCACTGGATCTTCAGTGTCGTACATACATGAACGTGTAAATAACATTACAGATGATGCGTAAAATTAATTTTGTATAATAAATTTCCACAAGCGTACGGTGTCAAGTTTTAAGTATAAGGTGAGTGAGTATCGTCTCCACAGGGATTGGGTTTAAAATTGCCGTTAAGTACTGCGATTATTGTAACTTAACTTTATCTAGGCAGCCTAATTAGATGATGATTCAGAACTAAAACAAAATAAATATAAGAAAATAAAAATAAAGTATCTATACACAAATGGTCTAGGGACTTGATTTCGCTTTATTATTCCTATGTTCATCCTATTATGTAATTGCTAATCAATTCCGTTCAATTCATTAATCAAGGCTCTAATATCACCTCGCAACCTTTCTCGAGTGCCTCACAAGGAATTGTATTTAAATACCCAAAACAATATCCCTATTCGAAATGAACATTTAAACACAAATTAAGCTTTGCCTTTAGAATTAGAAAAATAGGAATATTGATCGCCTCCCGACCTCACAACGACCTAAATCCTAATTTGATTATCTAAACGTTGATCTCCTCTCGGTCTCACAACAACCTAGACTATGCTTCTCAAATCTAGATAAAGAATTCAATCTCTCCCGAGCATCAAATTCGCAATCTAAAAATCATCTAACTCATTGGCCAAATAAATTAAAAGCATTAAGCATAGACAAACATAAATGAATTGAAAATGAAATTAAATTAACAATCAACAAAATATTCAAAACATAGTTCAAATAAAACTACATCAACTCCTAGATTTAATGTCTAGCTCAACATGGAAAAATAGATGAAAGAAGATAAAACCCAATATCCATTGAAGAGCTTCTAAGGACCTCCAAGATGAAGGATTTCAGCCTCCTTTTGATGTTTTCGTCACTTTTCCGGGCTCTGGTTCCAAATGGCATCTCTTTCCTTTTATACTACAACATTTCGGAGCTAGGGATTTAGTCGCGCGCTGCAGCCCACGTGAAAATGCGCTGCGGCGCACATTTTTGGAAGAGGGATTTCACTCGCAGGGGGCTGAGATGCGCTGCAGCGTCTTTGGGTGTACTGCAGCGCGTAGGACACATTCCTGCGCCCTTTTGGCGCATTGCAGCGCCCCTTGGGCACGCTGCAGCGCGTGGGCAGCCTCTGGGCACGTTTTGGGCGCGCTGCAGCCCCTCTGGTGCGCTGCAGCGCGCATTTTTAGAGCTGGGCACGTTTGGGTGCGCTGCAGACCACTTTGGGTGCGTTGCAGCCTGCGCTTCCCTTGCTCTCTAGACTTCTTTGCATTCCTTTGCACGTTGTAGCCCAAAAGGATGCGCTGCAGCCCGCTTTTTTGCATTCCAAGCCTCCTCTTTTGTGCCTTAAAATCCTCTTTTGTCTCCTCTTGCCATTGATTCACAAGTTGGGCAAATATTCTTCTTTGCTTCATGCAAAATCATCTAAGTTCGCATTTATTTATAACAAAAATGCTTGAAAACATACAAATATTCAAGCGTAAAAGTACTTGATTTGTTGGTAGAAATACCCGTCATCAACAGACATCAACCACAGTCTAGAAATCCAAATATTAGAGTTTACAGAATTTACAAATTCTTACATTCGTACACAGGGAGGATGACAACAATCCTTTCCAAGTCAGGTGGTAGCAACTCAGCTACTCCGCACTGCTTCTAGAATCGTCTGGGAGGGCTTTAACATTTATAAAACAATAAAACGTGAGCGAAAGGCCCAATAGGATATATTTTTGAAATAACTTTATAAACAATTAAGTAAATAAATGAGTAAACAATGAAATAAATGTAGACATTCAGTTCCAACACAACAGTTGGAACCTTACATCCTTTTTCTCAAAGGAAATATAACTGAAAATCTCCGTATTACAGGCATCAGCAAGTAATTTATACTATGATAAATTACTTACACAACCAAGTGCACAAACCATATCACCCTGGGCCGGGTTTCGAGTCCTGCCCCCAAGGATGCACTCTCCACATCCTATCTAGGCCATCAGCCGGTTTATCGATTTGCAAGATCTCTTATCTTAAGAAATCATTCATTAAACTTTATGAAACAGTTCATTATACTCCCCAGAATCTACACAAGACATGGGGGTTAAAATATTTTTCTTTCGCAAACATGCCCTTTTTTTAAAACATTTGCAAGGTCAAATATCCTTTTGAAAATAGGCTCACAAAGAAAGGGGTAAGAAATCCTACCTCACAAGTACGAAACCTAGCTAGCGTTATACAATTCCAGCTTTCGCTTCCTCAAAGCCCCTCAATCCGTTCCTCAACTAGCACTGATACAAAACCACGCTTTAGGATCCAATTCACATTCCTAAAGCAATTTCAATCTCAATTATATCCTTTGATTTCCTATTAGTGTGCCTAAATCAATTTTCAAGTTTCATTAATCAACTCATGTTTTAAATCATCATTCCAAGGGTTTTCAATATCAAAACACGGATTAAAGATGCTAATCCACTCATTCTAGGTCTCCAAATGAAGCTAATTTGCGTTCTCCTCAAAAATCAAGGTCAAAACAGGGTTTTTCAACAAAACAGGGTCAAACCCCGTGTACATCGGTCGACTGGTGACAGCGCAACGCAACACCACCGGTCGACCGGTGGTGTGCAATTCGGTCGACCGTATAGGTCGACCGGTGGGCTCAATGCAGTCCGGTCGACCGCACAAGTCGACCTGTAAAGAACAACAGGCGAAGAAAACCCGCGAAATCAGCCTAAAAACCTACAAATATGAGTCCAAATCGAGACATCTCAAAAGAAAACCACTAGATCGGGTTCTAAGTACTAAATCAAGTCGAAAGAACCCAAGATCTCCAATTTCTACCATGGTTTTGCTCAAAATCCATCAAAATGCATTTCGAACCAAAATAAGTTTTTAAACCCGAAAATCTAAGTTTCTAGAGAAATTTTTCAGAAATCTTACCTCGAATCTTTCTCTTGGCGTTGAAAACTTCTTGAAATCTTCCTTTAGTTCGAAATCCAGTTGGTTTGAGGCAAAAATGGGAGAGAGAAAGAGTGAGTGAACGAGAGAGAATGAGAGAGTGAGTGAGTGAGTGAGAGAGAGAGAGAGAGAGTGTGTGTGTGTGTGTGTGTGTGTGTGTGTGTGTGTGCACATGAAGGACAAAGGAAAGGAAGGAAAAGAAAAAGAAAAAGAAAAAGGATATGGACGAGTGTCAAAATGTTTAAAATAATCGTCTAGAAATGTGCCCATACACACTTCTGAGTAAAATGTAAATACTGTGAATATTTAAATACCTTGGAATTATTTAAATTTACACGTCAGAAACATTTATTAATCCATAATCAATTAATTAAACCAGATTAGGTACACTAATAAATCTTAATTACCTAAATTAATCTTGTTTAATTCTTCGGGGCGTTACAACTCCACCCCCTTAAGGAATTTCGTCCTCAAAATTATGACTTACCTCAAAATGCAAACAATTGCGGATACCGCTCTTGCATCATCATTTCAAGCTCCCATGTCACTTCCTCAACTCCATGGTGCTACCATAATACTTTCACTAATAGAATCTCACGATGACACAGACTCTTCATCTTCCGGTTAAGAATCTGAACCGGTGCCTCCTCGTATGTCACATCATATTGTATTGAAACATTATACCATTGCACTATAGCTTCCGGATCAGGTTGACATTTGCAAAGCATCAAGACGTAAAACACGTCATGCACGTGAGATAGCTCAGGCGGTAAAGACAGACGATACGCCACGACACCAACTCGTTGAACGATCGGGAATGGTCCAACATACCTTGGCGCAAGTTTCCCTTTCACTCTAAAACGAATAACTCCTTTGCATGGAGAAACCTCTAACAGAACGAATTCGCCTTCTTGAAATTCCAAAGGCCTACGCCTTCTATCAACATTGATCTTCTGACAACTTTGAGCTGTTAACAATCACTCCTGAATCACAACTATCTTCTCGTTGTTCTCTTGAATCACTTCTGGTCCAGTAGTAAGTCGATCCTCTAGTTCCAACCAACAAACATGTGATCTACAAGGACGACCGTAGAGAGCTTCGAATGATGCCATACCGATACTGGCCTGATAGTTGTTGTTGTAAGCAAACTCAGTAAGGTGAAGATATTTCTTCTAGTTTCCATCAAAATCCAGAATACAAGCACGAAGCATATCCTCCAGAATATGATTAACTCTTTCAGATTGCCCATCAGTCTGAGGATGAAATGCGGTGCTAAAATTCAATTTTGTTCCCATGGCTTCCTGAAAACTCTTCCAATACCTTGCATTAAAACACGTGTCACGATCGGACGTAATGGACAACGGCACTCCGTGAAGTCTAACGGCATGCTCCAGGTATAATTCTGCCAGAATCTTCCAGGAATACGTCGCACGGAATGGTATGAAATGTGCAGATTTTGTCAACCTGTCCACCACCACCCAGATGGCATCGTGCTTCTGCTCAGTCCTCGAAAGTCCCATCAGAAAATTCATCGTGATGTGCTCCCATTTCCACCCCGGAACAGGTAAAGGTTGCAACTCTCCTGCTGGCTTCTGATGTTCTACTTTGATCTGGAGACAAGTTACACATTCTGAGACGTACTGTCGAACGTCTTTCTTCATGCCTCTCCATCTGTACTGCCTCTTCAGGTTTTGGTACATCTTGGTACTTCCCGGATGAATAGTGTACCTCAATTTATGGGCATCATGCAGAATCGTCTTCTTCATGTCATTCATCTTAGGGACGGCTAAGCGGTCGCGAAAGTATAACACTCCATCCTCTCAGATTCTCCAATCCTCAAGCTGCTCCCCATTCTGGATTCAAATCCAGATTCCTTGGAGATGAGGATCTTGCCGTTGATTCTGCTTAACTTGCTACACAAGAGCTGGTGTGGAGATCAGATTATACACCGTTGCTTGGTAATAATCCTCGTGGTACTGAAGATCATAATCAGTTATTACTTTAGTCATTTTCCAGTCTTCCAGAGCTAATGACGCCATAATTCCTGTAGCCTTCCTGCTAAGGGCATCAGCTACCACATTAACTTTTCCCGGATGATAATGCAGTGTGAAGTCATAATCTTCCATGTACTCGACCCATCTCCTATGCCTGAGGTTCAGATCTTTTTGAGTAAACAAGTACTTCAAACTCTTATGGTTAGAAAAGACCTGAAATCTTGCTCCATAGAGATAACATCTCCATATCTTCAGAGCAAATATCACCGCTGCTAATTTCAAGTCATGAGTGGGTAGTTTCATTCATGTGGTTTCAATTGGCGAGATGTGTAGGCTACAACGCGTCCACCTTGCATCAAAACATAGCCAAGTCCACTCATCGAGGCGTCAGAATATACCTCATATGCCTCTTCACTATTGGATATAGTCAATACTGGTACGCTTGTCAGTCTGGTCTTCAATTCCTAAAAAGCATGTTCGCATTCAGCGTCCCATTCGAATCTGACTTCTTTCTTGGTCAACCGAGTCATCGGTGCAGCAATACTTGAGAAGTTCTTTACGAATCGTCGATAATATTCGGTGAGTCCAAGGAAACTTCAAATTTCTGCCACATTCTTCGGCCTTTTCCATTATAGCACAGTCTCGATCTTTGAAGGGTACACAAAAATTTCTTGTCCTGATATCACATGGCCAAGGAACTTCACTTCTGTCAGCGAGAAGTCACCCTTCTCCTTTTTCGCATACAACTAGTGTTCACGAAGAGTCTGAAGAACAATCATCAAATGCTGCTCAAGTTCTTCCCAAGTCTTCGAAAAAACCAGGATGTCATCGATGAAGACGATCACAAACTGATCTAAGTACGGCAGGAAGACACAGTTCATTAGATCCATGAATGCCGTTGGGGCATTCGTCAGCCCAAAAGGCATTACCAGAAACTCAAAATGTCCATACCGAGTTCTAAAGGCAGTTTTTGGTATGTCTTCCTCCTTAATCTTCAGCTGATGATATCCTGACCTCAAGTCAATCTTAGAGTAATACTACGATCCACCCAATTGATGAAATAACTCCTCGATCCTCGGCAGTGGGTATTTATTCTTCACATTTACTCTATTCAATTGACGATAGTCAATGCACAACCGAAGAGGTCCGTCGTGCTTCTTCACAAACAACACAGGTGCACCCCATGGGGAAGTGCTATTCCTGATATATCCTTTTTTCGCTAGCTCTCTGACCTGTTTCTTTAATTCTTTCATTTCTGCAGGTGCCATTCGGTAGGGAGGAATAGAAATTGGAGCCGTTCCCAGTATTAAATAAATGCCGAATTCAATTTCTTAATCCGGCGGTAACCCGCGCAACTCATCCAGAACAACATCCGCGAACTCATCCACCACAAGAATTCCCACACTGTCTCCAATTATCTCGGATTCACCTTCTAGACCAAGAAGGAAAGAGAAACAAGCAAAATTCCTACGTCCCCTAACGCTGTATCTCAACAGTCATTCTTCCAGGACTGGGTTCATAACCGCTTGATAAATGATCACCGCTCCGGAATTAGTCGTCAAGGTTACTCTCCTATAGTAGCAATCGACAATCACACCGTACCTTGTTAATCAATCCATTCTAAGTACGATGTCAAACCGACTCATCGGAAGGATTATCAGTTCAGCTCTCAATCGCTCACGTCCAATCATGATTTCACACAATCTACACAGGCTAAGTACCTCTACACATCCTAGTGGGGAGTTTAACATCATCGGGGTTTCCAAACTCTCAGATTTCAGTTTCAAGATTTGCACAAAAGAGCTTGATATAAAGGAATGGGTAGCATAAATATCAAACAATACATATGCTAGAGAGTGAGAGATTAGAATCATACCCTCAACCACCATGTTGCTGGCCTGTCCTCCAGAACTGCCTCCTGTCAGGGTGTAAGCTTGTCCTTGCACTTTTCCATTTCCTTTATCACCAATATTTGGCCGTTGTGTCCCTGGCCTATATTGTTGTGGTGGATGTATCTGCACCGGTCCTAACGCTTAAGGCTAAAACTATGGATATTAAGGCAGACGGTAGGTTGGTACAGGAGGGTATGGCATCGGCATTGGTAGTTGTGGCTAATAAGGTGGCACAAACTGCGGTGGTCTTTCTTGACCATAAAGAACCTCACTCTGAGATTGCTGAGCCGGCGGTTGATTCTGATTTGGATAGTTCCTCCTAATGTGGCCAACTTGCCCACAATAATGACACTTGGGGCTGTAGGGACCACTCTAGTCACTTCCCGAGGAACTACTACCACCGCTGATCATCTCCCCGCTAATCTGTCCCTGATTACGGTTTCTTCTACCACTCCGGTGTGGCCCACCTGAAGCAAAAGGTCCACCAGAAGTAGAAACTCGACCAGCTGCTTCCTTGCTTTGCTGATAAGCCAGATTATCCTGCTCGACGCTTGTAGTAGCAGCCACCAGGTCTCAGAAATTTCAAATTCTTAGAGACACCAAGGGTCTCCTTATAGAATTCTTTAGACCCTTTTCGAATTTAAGACACTTTAGGTGTTCGGACTCCACCAAAGATGGTGCAAACTGGGATAGGTCGTTGAATTTAGCCTCGTACTCATCATGAACATGTCGCCATGTAGCAAGGACATAAACTCCATTGTCTTTTTGTAACACCCTGAAGAATTAATTGAGATTAATTAAGGTAATTGAGATTATTAGTGTGCCTAATCTGATTTAATTAATTGAGTTTAAATAATTCTAAGGTATTTAAATTATTCACAGTAATTTATTTAATCCAGAAGTGTGTATGGGCGCATTTCTGGACTGTTATATTTTACACATGTCACTTTCTTTTATTTTTCTTTTCTTTTCTTTTCTTTTTCTTTTTCCTTTCTTTTCCTTCCTTTTCTTTTTCTTTCCCGTGCGTTTCTCTCTCTCTCTCTCTCTCTCCCACTTCCGTGCTCTCTCTCTCTCTCTCTCTCTCCCATTTGTGTCTCAAATCAAAACCGGATTCGAACCAAGAGTGATTTCAAAGAGTTTTCAACGTCAAGAGAAGGATTCGAGGTAAGATTACTGAAAGAACCTCTATTGAATCTATGTTTTTTTTCAGATTTCAAAACTTATTTTGGTTCAAAACGGATTTTGATGGATTTTGAGTAAAACTAGAGTAGAAATTAGAGATCTTGGGTTCTTTGGACTTGTTTTAGGACCTAGA